GCTTTTACTATGTCATCAAATGCCTTTACTGTGTCATTGGGCCGTGTATGGACCTGACAGACACGTACGGCCCAGCCGTGGCCTAAACTTTGGTCTCGTAGAGACTAAATTGTCATTTGTTACATCATTTTATATGTGGATCCGATTCAGGCGATTCTTGAACCGTTGGAAGGCTCTCGAGCTCTACTTCAATTTGGGATAGGTTTGGGTTGTTTTAGGACAATTATAATAGGCCTAGATTGTCTATTGTCTATTAGGGTTTTTGTGGTCCTTCAGGCTCAGAATCGAGATTTTTAGGAGTTCCCTTAGCCAGAATTTCGAGAGAGGGTCTACAAATTATTACTCCAAGTAAATTTTGCTCCATTGAAATGCAAGTCCATAATGGCACCATTAATATGTAAGTCCATAAGGCCATTATTGGATATAAAATCGTCAAGCATCATCATAGTTGTATTCATCTTGGGATTATAAAGCGACCCATGTGGCCATCTAATTTGGTTAAAATTACCCATACCACACCACTCATTAACAACATTAATAAAATCAGACAAAGCATTAAAAAAGGGGGCTTTATCAGCAAAAGCATTAGATACATAGATATTACATAATTTCCAAGAGAATGAGGGGGGAGATAGGACATAAAGCAACAAAAGCCAATCATTCACCACAAAAGACGAGACCCCCCTTAAGAGGGGTCCCACAGCAAGAGTAGGCCTCCAAAATGGCCTAAATAAGGAGAGAAACAGTAGGGCACCAGGCCTTGGCCCCAAAAAGATCGAACAAGAGGAAGGTCAATATAGGGAAGTTTAATCTCCTGCAACAACACAAAAAAGAGGACGATGCTTCTGAACCAGCCTAGCAAGTGCCCTTTTCTTTCTTTCACCCCTAGTCCCCTCATGTTCCAACATAGAATCTTCATTTTAGGTGGAAGTCCCTCCTTCCCCTAGTGACACCCAAAAGGCCAGTAGTGAAAGGGTTATGAGGCAGACCAACTACCAGCTAACTCGCCTCCTTTTACAGTCTAGTGGGATCTCTTCTCGGTCGGGGGTTTGGGTGTTGCACAATAACATTCGGAACAATGGCCTCCTCAACAATCTTGACGTCTCCTCTTAAACGGACATGCATAGCCTCTAGCATCTTCCCTGCCTTTGCTCGGACCTCTCCTCATCTTATGCATGGACCAGTTGCTAGACCTGGGAGAGAGATCTTCATTCGATGAGTCAGAGGACTTGACAACCAAGATAGGAGGGGCATAAGGGAACCTAGCCATGAAAAATGCTTTGCTCTGGTGCTCCTCTTGGCCTAGCATTAAGGTAGTCTTGACAGTCAAATGGCTTCATTCATTCCTTTTCTCCCACTCAAGAAGAGTCATTTTCGCAGTGCTCTCCAGGGTAGCCCCCAAAGAGGCAGGGGCGGAGAGAGACACATCAACATCCAAAGAATTAAGCAGGGTGACGCTTTGGGCATCCATCAGGGGGGGAGGGGAATATCTTGTAGAGAGGATAAGTTTAAGAGCTAATGAGAGACTCCAGGCAGAGGTTAGGAACCAATGAAGCATGAAAGGCTACGATTAGGGCAGGTATGCGTAGAGGGGGAAGGGGTGGGCACAAGGGTCAAATACAATAAAGAGGGAAGGGGTGGTACCTTTCGATGTGGCACGGAAGATCAATTGGCGCCACTAAAGCAATATCCTAGGCAGCGGCAGGGAGTATCTCAGCCACAGGATTGTCCACATAGACAGAGGGGGCAGGTTCATCAAAGGAAGGATGAAAAGATGCCTAACAGCAGGAACAAGAAATGATGAAGAGCCTGCAAAAGCCGCCACGTTGATGATTGATGTTGAGCTACAAGATGGCTCCAACCACGAGGAAGGAGGTGAAGGGATAACCAGGGTGTCCTCTAGCGAGGCTTCCTTACCTTCCATGGGCTTACAACCCGATTGTTCACCTTTTAAGAACGTTGAATTGGAAACCGGCAAGGACTTGGAGGACCACCTTTCCTAAGGGCTACCGGGTAAAACTCCACTTTTGGGGGAGAAACATTTGAATTTGAAACTGAGCTGGACTTGCCAGCCATCCTCCCACCCAAAGAGGAAAAGGACCCCGATGCTACCTTTTTATTGCATAAAGGCTTGGTTTGTTGCCTAGCATGCCACTCCTTTCTCGGCGGGTTCTTCCTTTTTTTGAAAACCTCACACCATGGGTTCTCAAAACCACCAGAGGAATGGACAAGCTCAGAAGCTTCCTTCAATGGAGGCGACCTAGCAGCTTCATTCGAGATGGAAGGTTCAAATGAATGCTGAATAATAGTAACAAGCGTTCCTTCCTTTAGAAACTTAATTTCATAAAAACTCCCAAGAACCTTAATAAGAATCCGAGAAGGAATAACCACCCCTAAGAATCTTCTGAACTTTAATCCTCGAGATTCCTAAAGAGGGTCCTGCAAACATGAGCAAGTCAATCTCAACTAGCTTACCACAGTGGGCCACTTGGCTTACAAAAACATCTTTGGTCAATGCACGGATGGGCCCTCCCTCAATATGAATCCAAACGCAAGGCATCTAAACAAAAGAATGGTTCATTTTATAGGACCATCTATCCAAAGACATAAGGGTTCCTCTGAATCTCCAAAATATGTTGGAGAAAACCTTCTTCTCTCTCAACGAACATCAAGGCTCTTTTACTTGGGATCATCCTGCAGGATAACTTGTATTTCCAGGTTTTGGTAGCCCAATCTTGAAGCATACTCAAATCTTTCACCAATGGACTAAAAGAGCGAACCAAAGCCTTGTCGAGCATAGACAACCAGTTAGAAGTTGCTCGATCTTCTATTTCAATAACTTCAGCATCCTTGACATTAGAAAAAAGGGGTTTAACTGCAGTCGTCCCAAAGCAAGCTATCTTCCACGAACCACCTGGAGTAGAGCCAAGGACGCCAAAGCCCCCATGAGAATGCTTGGAGTCACCGCAGCTGAAGTTTCTCTGTGTTCTCCTACGTGCATCACACTCCAGGGTAGTTACCTTAGTCTTTCCTTTCCATGCATCTGGAGGGTGAGAACCCGAAGAGGAAGAGCCTGAAGAAGTTGATCATGACAGTAGCCGGAAGAAAGAACTCCATGAACCTAGAGCTCAGAACCTCATGTCGAGATCCAGGTAACTGCAATGCATCCATCTAACTTCACATCTAAAGGTCAAGATTAATTGTGACCATCTTGTATCAAAGATAGATGGTCACATTGTATATTTTTCGTTGATCATTTCGCCTTTGAAATGATATAAAAAAAAAAAGAATTTCAAGCCTTAAAAATAATGTATCTTATAACAAGTTATCTAGACTACCTATTTTTAAGGATTTCAAATCTTTATAGATCTACTTGATTTGTATCATTTTTAGAATTTTAAATTTCATAATCAGAGTTGAACATAGATTTTTCTAGCCGTTGTAAGGTTTCCGACAATAAAAAGTAAATCTTCCTATAAAAAATAGATATGCTCATAGCATAAGGTGAACATCCTACACGAACCTCACCTTAAATTACATGCAATAATTTATTTTCTTTTTAAAAATCCTAAAGATATTCTACTCCCTTGGGAGTAGAATATTCATTTACTCCCTCACTTAAAAAGGTCAGCTTTCTATACGTCCCTTGTTATATGGGAGTTATATACTTCCTCCTATCCAGCCATCCGATCAGAATGGACGGCTGAGATGGACCCAATCACAATGATTTGCCTTTGTACTATTTTATTTTTAATTTTTTATACAAAATATTTTGACACTAAATTTTAAAATATTTTTTACTTGCATCCCATTGAGAAGGTGGCACGCACCAAATTTCATATTTCATATGATTTGTAGAGAAACTAAAAATGAAATATTTTGAGGCATTAGATCTTGTTCAAACGGTCAGTGGCTCACTTGATCTAAATTGGACGGTTGGATGAAGGGAAAAATATATAACCTCTATACAGTAAGGAAAGTATAGAAAACTTTCCCCCGATAAAAGCCCACTTATAATTAATGTAAGGACCCCAAATTTTGGGGGATGTAACCTCTTCAATTTATCAATAAAAAAAAGAAAATTGTTTCATGCGGGCTGGACTGCATTTCTATCTATGTGGTCTACAAAGTGTAAATCATCCATTTTAAAGATGGATGCAAGTAGGTGTTCCATCTAAAAACAATAGAAACTAACGGTCCAAATGTTTTCTTACTAGAATTATTATTTTTAATTTTTAAAATTTATTTGCTTTTTCACATTCATGATCTCCATATTAGAGATTACATGTCTTTAAAAATTAAGTCTTAAAATCCATCTCAAAAATAGATTTTATTAAAAGGCCTACATTTCTACATATGCAAGCTTGGCCGCATAGAAACCGGGTCAATAAAAAAAAATAGTACTTGTGCCCTCTATGCAATTGAAAAGATAACCGTCACGAGATTGAATAGTGACTATCTAATTTTTAGATGGTGAGATCTAAGTGTTAAAAGACTCAATTTTCAAATTTTATTTTTTGAATAATCATCTATTATTTCTTTAAGTGGTCCGCAGTATTTCGTATTGAAAAAATCGTCCCAAGTCTTTAGATCCACGAAGTAGAAGTAAACTATTCTCCCGAGGGAGCATAGTGTAAGCGCTCAAAGAAAAATAACTTGCGAGAATTGGTCAAATAATAATAATAATAAAACAATGCCAATCTTGACAGGCACCTCCAGCGCTAGATCTGTGTCGCATCCATCGTACTTTTCAAACGACGTCGTAGTTGTGAAGCGACAGGTGAAAAAGGCCTTTTGTTTGGGCCTGGTTTCTATGCGGCCAAGCCCGCGTATGTAGAAACGCGGTTTCTTAATAAATCTATTTTTGAGGTGCTTTTTAAGATTTAATTTTTAGAGGCATGAAATTTCAGACATGAACATCATGAATATACTTTTTTTTTTAATTATAAATAATAATTCTACTAAAAAAACATTTGCACCAATGCTTTCCATTTGTTAGATGGAAGGCCTACATGGATCCATCTTTAAGATGGATGCTTTACACTTTCTGGACTGCAATGTAGAAATGCGCTCCAGCCCGCATGGAACAATTTTCCTGTTTTGGTTTGGATCATTTCTGCTGACGTACAATGGATAATGACAAACGAGAGGGAAAATCGATCACAGAGCATTTGAGAAGATTGGAGGATAAAATGTTGGAAACGATCTCCTGTTCCTCTTGATCTTTCCTCATTAATCCAGATCCTCTCTCTCACTCTCTTTGATTATGTTTCTCCTTTGTTGATGCTATAGTTCTTTCCCTTGTAGAGTGAGAAAGTCATCTAGGGTTTTTCTGTTTTGTTTCAAATGCTCTTGCAGCATGATGCCGCTGGCTTCTCTCTCTGCGCGCACGGCTTCTCTCACTGCACTCACGCAACAGATACAGAAGAAGCTTCAACAGGTTAGAGAGAGAGAGCATGTGATCTATCTCCTCATTCATGGTGTTCTTCTCTTACATGGCTGAGTTGTGATAGCTAGGGTTTCTGGATGTGGAAAAAATGACATGAAGTAAAAAACACTACATTCAATTCCTCTGTTTTATAGTCCTATGTGATTTAGGCCTCAATAGTCTTTTGTTTTTTATTCATTGGGATTAGGGAGAAAGACTGGCACTATAGAATCCTAAATGCAATTCGGCAATTCCTCTTGTTTCCTCTCTGTTTGCCCAGCTTCAAAATGTTAATTTTTCCTTTTTGTTCATTAGAACAGTTTTTAAATATTCTCTTTCTATGCCATATCGATAGCATCAATTTCAACTGCATTTATTCGTTCTTTAACTGTATGGTTTCATTTCACCAAAAAAGCTGTGTTTATAGCCATTGAGCTGCTTATATGTGTATGGTTTTGGTGGTCGTGCTATTTGACTCAGATGAGATTATATTGTTGCATCATATATTCTACAAGAAATTCTAAAACAATAGAAAAATGAGCATAAATGTAATTTAAAAATTAGATGAAAACAACGAGCATCTTCTAACTTAAACCATATATACAAAATTATGGAAACTTTATGCTTTTTATTTTTTTGGGAAATATTTGACTTGTATTATATGAAAGATGAAAGTATAGTAACTTTATACTTTCAGACCAATAATTCAATCTATGCATGTGCTCTGAGAATCCCAATGATTTCCATAAAACACATCTTTCTAGTGTAATTCTGAGGAGCTATTACAATGGCAGGAGTTACATAACATGGACTGCAGTTCCAAGAACTTCCCATAATATAGATTCTGTATTTTGTTTCTTTATCCTTTACAACCTCTTTGGTATGAGTTCAAGTATGACTGTTGTTTGATCTAGTTGATGGGGGCAGAGGAAACTAAGGGGGAAGGTGATCCCTTCTTTCCTAAACAAAAACCCTTAAATCCTACTTTTAGAACATTTTGAAGCTGGTGAACTTTGTACTTATAGGCAGCTTCAGCCGTGCAAGTTTCATAGGTATAGAGTGGTCACAGTCATTATTGCTAGTATCCACAGCCAATAGTCACTTGTACTACTCACTGTGCTCGCTATAGTCCATTTTTTGGTATACAGTCAAATACCTCCCCGTACTCCGTACATGGAGCAAAAATGTCCATTAAGTTACTGGGAGGTATAGGAGATGCCTTCTTTGAAGAACACCACTCCTGGAATAGCTTAGATCCTGTGGTATTGGATTAGTTGGGTTAGGCTATTAGGAACATAGAAAATCCAACTTATTCTTAAACTTAGGGGTTCCTAATGTTGCCAATGTATTATGCAGTATGTTTAAAACATTAGTTTGGTGCTGAATCTGTTGGACTGATGGATCACTTGTTTTGATTTGTTTTCTGCATTTTTAGCTGATCAGGACCTTCACCGGTGTTATTTCAGCCCAAATCTGTCAAACTGGGTGGTCTTGTTCCTTAAAAGCCTGGTGATACAGTGCCCCCTAAGGTTATGATAAGAAGCCTTCTTTTAACCCAAATCGATGGCATAATCCTATCTGCCATGTGTTTGAAGTTATATGACTCACCAACACTGAATGGGGCAAAGTAGTAGCATTTGCTTTCAAATTTGTTTCTTCAAGGCAAGTATGGAATCGTTGGATGTTCCCTTCCAACCCACCCACATAAAAGAAAAAAATGTTGGTTGAGGGACTAAAAAGTTGTGTGTTTTGTTTTTCTTTATAGTCTTCTCACTTTGGATATTTTCATTGGAAATGCTGATCTTGCCTGTCAAAGGCCTTTTTATTCCAAGATTTCAACATGGTTATTTCACTCTTTATTAATCTCCAAGGGAACTAAACTTTCAAGGGATTTAAGTTTCTTGTCCGTTTAGAAAGTAATGCTTTAAACATCATATATGCTCGTAGATGAGTAAGCAGGTGATGTAGGACAAGGGGGATTGGCTCCTACACGGGTGTGACATGTGAGGTGGGTTAGGAAGGAAGGGGTTTGGTTTAGATTGGGAGACCCAATTATCAGATTTGGCAGTCTTAATTAGGGTAGGAGTTAGGAGTCTTATTTGGGTTTGGTTCCCTAAAAAGTTTAGGGGAGCAGGGTTTTAGCCCTTATGAAGGTTTCCGATTGGGACAGAATTGGATAATATGAGGTCTCAATGAACTCTGGTGGGTTTGGTTGGTTGAAAGTAAGCTTTAGGATAGGTTTTAGGGTTTCTAAACGGATAAATAGTTGCTGGATTTTCTCTGTCTAGTAAGGATTGAAGGTGGGAAGAAGCATTCTAGGGTTGAATTAGGGCAGATCTAGGGTTCAAGGGTGTAGTGATGTTGGGGATTTTGGGAAGCGTTGGCCATCTTATTAGAGTTCAAGGGTGGTTCTGGAAGAGGACAAGAAGGGTGACATATTTTGTTTGTGAGGGATCTTGGATGGGCAAGCATATCAAAGGATAAAATGAAAGAAGATGGTAGGATAAAGGAGATAGATGTACCTTGACCTAAAGTTATGCTTTTGACCATAATTTGGAGGCCAATAGGCCGGGATTAAGAAAAAATTATTGAGATAAGGGTTGTAGATCTCAAAGAGATCTTAAAGTTGAGCTTTGATCAGCCCAAATGGATATATGGATGAAAAGTTATGCTTTTGGAAAGCAAGCTGGATTCAGAGGTGAGGAACAATTGTTGGAGATGATAGGTTGGTGCAATAGGATTTGTGATGGGATGGTGCATTAGGTTTGACATCCCTCTCATTTCTCATGTATTTGTATGTGTGTGTATATATATATATATAGGAAGAAACTAACAATAGCTGGGCAGCTATAATGAATAGTAATATAGGTAGAACGGGAACCGTCAAATCTTCATCATGTGGTTCAGAATGTGTATCACTATACGAATTTTAATATTTTTTCTAGAAATTGGATCATAATGAAATTTTAAACGTGTATACTAAAAAATAGGGCGCACAAGTAAAAAATATATAAGAAATATTTCCCAAAATATAAAATGACCAAAATACCCCTGAAAAATGACAGGGGTAATTTGGCCATTTCAAATTATTGAAAATAATTTTTTATATTTTTATATGGTGCGCAATAGTGTTAGGTATATACACCCAAAATTTCATCTTAATTAGATTTATAGAAAAAATTTAAAATTCATATGGTGATATGCATTCTGAACCACATGATGAAGACCTGACGACTAGGATTCCACCTATATTACTATTAATTATAGCTGCCGCGCTATTGTAAGGTTCACTCATATATATATATATATATATCACTAATGTACGCCCATACGCGAATGGCCCAGATTGAATCTTGGCCCTTCTGCTGCCGATCTGACGCTCACGGATGTCCGATAGTATTTGAATTTTTATTTTTTTTCTACAAGTCCAAATCACTTGAAATTTTAGGCGTGCGTTTTTCTCGTCAAAGCACACCTAATAAAAATATAAAAAAGTAATTCCCGAAAAACAAATTAACCAAAATACCCCCTGAAACTTTTCAGGGGTATTTTGGTAAATTTATTTCATGTAAAATTGTTTTTTGATATTTTTCATAGATTAGCCTTTTTTTGAAGAACAAACGTTTAAAATTTCAAATGATTTGGATTTGTAAAAAAAAAATTAAAATTCAAACACTATTGGACATCCATGATTGTCAGATCGGCCCAGATTCAATTTGGGCCTGAGCCGTGGGCGTTTAGTGTAGCAGTACGCACTTGGGTGCACATCTTTCTATATATATATATATATATATATATATATATGGGTGTGGTTTCTATAATGTTGCAACCTTAAACAATCCAATTAAGGAGCGCCTCCAAATTTAATCATAACATGTACTTTTGGTGTAAAAAATTCTTAGGATTATCTGAAAATCTATTTTCATATCGAATTATAAAATTTTAAACTCTAAAAATAGTTAAAATCAAGTAGATCGATAAACATATGAAAATATTGAAAATGGACGGTCTAGATAATGTGTTGCAAGATGCACTATTTATGGGACTCAAAATCTTTTTCTTTTGTCATATTATACCTCTCGATGTCGAGATGATCAATTTTAGGGTTTTTCAACATTAAAAAAACCTATCTCAGTAGATTTTTGAGGTGCATCTTTAATTCTACATTTTAAGGTCACAACCTTATATAAAATTTTTCCTATATATACACACACACACACACACACACACACACACACACCCACACCCACACCCACACATGCATACACATATATACATATATATGTACATATAGAAGTGTATATGAGTATATATATGTACATATATGAGTATATACTGAAAGATGTGGGAGAAGCGCTAGCGAGGGGGGAAATGTATTTCATAGTTTTGTCGGTCCCAAGCTCAGTGGTAGAGTTGGCAGGGGAGGGCATTGAATCGACTAATCCCCACCACATGACTTAATGGTTGCATAGCCTGCAGATTACCCCCCCGTCCCCCCCCCTGCCCCCCATAATAGACGGAATGGATGGTCGTTCCCAGTAGTTGTGGTTATACTGGTCTCATCCCCCCATCCTTGTTAGTCGATCGATCAGCCGGAAAGGAACCATCATATAATGCAGAAGAAGCAGGTAGTGATCGGGTAGTCCATCCATCAAGTGAAAGAATGGATTGGGTTAGCAGTTCGATTGTATCTGATAATCTGTTCGACCAAAGATCCGACGGTTGATTATTTAGGGGTCTTTTCTTGATTACTAGTCAGCTGAACGGTTTTCTGTTCCCCTTCCCACGGATGTCCTTTTTCGTATTTAGTGGTGGAGATCCCATTCGTCTAGGTTGAGTAACAAATTGATCGCAATATTCATCTACTTCAGCCGAGATCCCACCCTTTTATTCGTTATTCATAGTCCACCTCCTCCCCCTCTGCTTTTTCAGGTCTAGCCTCAATGCATATGGCCAATTTAG